ACAGAAAAACACAGACTTTAATATAGCTAAAACAATCTTGGAAAATAAAAATATAGGAGTAATCACTCTACCCAATGTTAAGGGCTACTATATCGTTTCAGTAATGAAGATAGTGTGGTAATGGTGGAGGGATAGACACATAGGTCACTGGAATGGAATAGAAAACCCAGGAATAGACTCACATATGCACAACTGATTTCTAACAAAGGGGTAAAAGCAATTCAGTGAAAGACACATAGTCTTTTGTCAAATGATGCTGGAGCAATTTAAACATCCACAGTCAAAAAAATAAACCTCAACTGAAGCCTCATACCTTATACAAAAATTAACTCAAAATGAATCACGGACTTAAATGTAAAATGTGAAACTATAAAACTTTTAAGAAAGAAAAAATAGGCGAAAATCTTCAGGCCCCAGAGCCAAGCAAAAAGTTATTTAATTTGGAACCAAAAGCACAATCCATAAATTTTTAAGAATTGATAAATTGGAATTGTCAAGATTAAAAACTTTTTTTCTGTCTGTGAAAGACTCTGTTAAGAGGATAAGTAGACAAGTTACAGACTGGGAGAAAATATTTGCAAACCACATATCCACCAAAGGACTAGTATCTAGAATATATAATGAACACTCAAAACTCAACAGTAAAAAAAAATCCAGTTAGAAAATGAGAACAAGATACGAACAGACATTTCACCAAAAAAGCTATGCAGATGGCAAATAAGCACATGAAAAGATGTTCCATATCATTAGCCATTGGGAAAATACAAATCAAAACCACATCTATCATAATGGTTTTTTTTTAAAAGTGACCACACCAAATGCTGGTGAGGATGTGGAAAAACTGAATCATGCATATATTCTGGTAGGAATGTAAAATGGTATAGCCCCCTCAAAAGACAATTTAGCAGTTTCTTTAAAAATTAAGCATGCAACTACCATATGACCCAGAATTTGCACTCCTGAACATTTACCCTAGAGAAATGAAAACTCATGTTCACACAAATACCTGTACATGGAAGTTCATAGCAGCTTTATTCATGATAGCCCCAAACTGGAAACAACTAAGATGTCCTTCAAACGGTGAATGGTTCAAGAAACTGGCATAGCCATACCATGGAATACTACTTGACAGTAAATGGAATGGACTATTGATATACGCAGCAACTTGGATGACTCTTGAGGGAATTATGCTGAGTGAAAAAAAGAACCCCCAAAAGTTATATACTGTGTGATTACATTTATATAACATTCATTTATTAGTATTATTTTTTGAATCAGGGTCTCACTTTGTCCCCCAGGCTGGAGTGAAGTGGCACAGATCACAGCTCACCACAGCCTCAACCTCCTGGGCTCAGGCAATCCTCCCCTCTTGGCTTCCCCAGTGGCTTTGGGGAAGGTGGACTGTAGGCAAGTGCCACCATGCTCGGCTAATTTTTTGATTTTTTTTGTAGAGATGAGGTCTTACTATGTTGTCCGGGCTGGTCTCGAACTCCTGGGCTCAAGCAATTCTCCCTCCTTGGCCCCCCAAGGTTCTGGGATTGTAGGTATGAGCCACCTTGCCTGGCCTATACAATATCATTCTTGAAATGACAAAATGATAGAAATGGAGAACAGATTAGTGGTTGCTAGCAGTTAGGGATGCCGGGTGGGTGTAGCTATCAAAGGCAAGAGGTACAATCTTTGTGGTAATGGAGCTATCTTGTATCTTGATTGTTATCAATATCAATATCCTGGTTGTGTTAGTGTACTATGGTTTAGCAAGGTGTTATCATTGGGGCAAACCGGGTCAAGGGTACACTAGACCACTGTGTGATTTGTTACAACTTCATGTGAATCTATAATCATCTCAAAAAATTTAATTAAAAAAAGTCTTTTAGCCGGGCTTGGTGGCTCAGCCTGTAATCCCGCACCTTTGGGAGGCTGAGGTGAGTGGATTGCCTGAGCTCGCGGGTTCGAAACCCGCCTGGGCAGTGAGACCTCATCTCTACAATAAATCAAAAAATTAGCCGGGTGTGGTAGCGCGCACCTATAGTTCCAGCTACTTGGAAGGCTGAGGCAGAAGGATTGCCGGAGCCCAGCAGGTCGAGGCTGCGGTGGCTGGGAGCGGCCACTGCACTCCAGTCTGGGCGACAGAGTAAAACTCCAACTCAAAAAAATAAAAAATAAAAAAAAATAAAAAAGTCTTTTATACACACAAAACATTAATAGAGACAAAAGGGGAATCCTCTGAGAGAATCATCAGGGTAGAGAGTAGCCTGGAAATTTTGCCATGGAGAAATGATTGGGTCTGGGAGGTGGGACATCACCTGAAAAAAAGAAGACCTAAGGGCAATTCTTAGATAACTGTCACGTGAAAGAGGAATTAAATTGTAACCAATGGATAGAAGTCAGAAAGAGAAAATTTCATCTAAATATATGGCAAAATTTTCCATGACACCCCTCTATACATTAGGGCAAAATGGTTTCCAGGATGTGTGCTTATAAGGGGCAAGTCAAGGGTAAGAATGGGACAATTATTCAACCAAACAGAAAAGACTAATCCAGCATTTTGCCATTTTCTTCTCAGTGGGGTTAGGAAAAGGAGGAAGGACATCAGGGGAAGGGACTGGGGCACGCTCCAGGTGTACAAATTGCTGGAGACAATGAGAAAGTGGACTCTGTGTGCCAACTTTGGGGAAGGTGCTCATTAGCTGGATAAATGCTAGGTTCTTTACTCAGTGGGGTCTATATTAAGTGGAAGACATTATTCAAGCCAGAATTCACAGCTCCTGTATGTCTCACTCAATCAGCAGGAACCAGTGAGAGCCGAAAGGAACTCAAGAGGATTGCAGTGGAGACAACAGCAAGACGCTGGCAAGTGATTTTGAAGTGGGCATCTTTGCCCTTCTGAAGGCTGTGGCAGTCACTGGAATAATTTCAGATGAACAGGCACATTAGGAAAATTACTATTATTATGCATTACAAGGTTACAAAGAACACATGTCCTTTTATAGCATCACATGAAAAGTCTTAGAACAGAGGTATTGGGAATTTTCCCAAGCTTTCCTTTCCCAAACGAGTCTGCGTGTTCTCACAGATTTCCTCAGAGCCCATTTTCCATATATTGACCACAAAAGAGGATGCACATCGAGGCCACTTGTAAAGTTTCTGATTCCTACCAGGGCTAAAATCAGGGCAGGATTTCTTCAAGGATTTCTACAGGCAGTTTCACTTTCTTTTAGGGTGGGACCTGCAGGTGGGGTGAATTGTATTATTCTTGAAATGTGAAGATAAACTGAAGTGTTGTTTTATAAATTAAGTCTTATCCTGCCTGTGTCAAAATGGCTTGTGATGTGGTGCAAGACAGTGAAAAGATAACCCACAGAATGGGAGAAAATTTTTGCAAATCACATATCTGATAAGAGACCTGTTTCCACAATACATAGAGAACGCCTACAACTTAATATTATAGACACATTCAATTAAAACGTGGGCAAAGGTTCGAATAGCCATTACTCCAAAGCTGTTATATAAATGGCCAATAAGCACACAACAAGATGCTCAACATCATTAGCCATCATAGCCATCAGGAAAATATAAACCTAAACCAGAACAAGGTACCACTTCACCCGCTAGGATAGCCATCAACAGAAAACAAAAACATAAAAACAAGTGTTGATGAGGATGTGGAGAAATTGGAACCCTCATACACTGCTGGTGGGAATGTAAAATAGTGCAGCTATTCTGGAAAAACAGTGGGAGTTTCTCCAAAGATTAAACATAGAGTTGCCATGTGACCAGAAATCCTGCCACAGGTATGCACCCATGACAAAAACCAATGTCCACATATAGTATGATTCCATTATTTAAAATGTTCATAATAGGCAACTCTATAGAAACAGTAGGTTGGTGGTTGCCTCGGGCTGGGGCTGTAAGGGGGCGCTAGGGAATGGAGTGTGATTTCTTTCTTTCTTTCTTTTGAGTTGGAGTCTCACTCAGTCACCCAGACTGGAGTGCAGTGGCCGCTCCCGGCCACCGCAACCTCCACCTGCTGGACTCTGGTGATCCTTCCGGCGATCCTTCAGCCGTCCAAGTAGCCGGAATTACAGGCATGCGCTGCCATTCCCAGCTGATTTTTTGATTTATTGTAGAGATGAGGTCTCGCCAAGTTGCCCAGGCGGGTCTCGAACCCGCGGGCTCAGGCAATCCACTCACCTCAGCCTCCCAAAGGCGCGGGATTACAGGCTGAGCCACCGAGCCCGGCTTAAAGTTGCTATTTTAAAAGAAAAATAGCCTCCAAAACTTGTAACAACATCCAGTGCATTTTGTCTTTAAAAAAACAATGATTTTACCTGCAGTGGTAACGCTATTTTAAAATATTTGAATGTAAAATTGTGAGATGCATAAGATTCAGAGTGAAGACCCCTTTGGGTATGCAGCATTTCATTAGTCGGATCGGTAGCGTACTTAGAATCTATTTTTCAGGCAAACCAAGTTGTGCTGCCGGTGCCTCCCGGTGCTTTTGTCAAGGTCACGGTGAAAGCCAGGACGATCCAGCCTTCAGGACAGGGCTCAGGAGGGTCATGCACTCGACAACCGGGTATGAAGAATCCAAAACGAAGCGTCTGCTACTCATCCCAATGCTGGGTTAAAACACGTCTGTGTTGAGTTTGGAACTGAATGTTTATATACATCCAGTGCTTTGAAAGAGTTTTTACCCTGCTTGAAAGCTTCAAGTTGTTTTGAGAAAAAATAAATTGGGTTTCCTCATGGTGGTCAGGCTAGAGCGATGCCACACACAAAAAAAAAGTCCTGAAATTCCGGATTCAGCCAGTCTCTGGGCTCTGAGCGCTGCCTGGAGGAAGCGGCAGGGGGCGCGCTCCCCCCTCCTGCCCTGATGACCTTTCCAGGC